AGGCTCAACCGTGCAAGTTCTCTGCTACTCTTGGGCTTCCCTGCCCCAGAGCATGTCTCCACTGGGGGCTGGGCCGAGGACCCTACCGGGCGCACCCAAGGTTCCCGAACCAAACCGGAATGGGACAGATGGGAATTTCTGCCTCTGGAAAGCCCACCAGTCACTCTGAGTAGAAGATAAAAGTTAATGCCTGACAGTGGCCTGCGGGACCTGATGCAGTCTGAGTGCCGGCCCCTTCGCCACCGTTAGGGCTCCAACTCCACCTACCTTCCCCCTTGTGACCTTCTTCACTCCAGCCACACTCATCTCCCTGCTGCTCCTCAACCAGCATGCCCCACTCCACATCAGGGCCTTTGCACCTGCTGTTCCTTCTGCCCGCAATGCTTTTCCCTGAGATATTCTCATGGCTCGCCTTTTGACCACCCTTCAGATCTTTGCTAAAATGCCATCTGGTTATTGAGGTGGTTTGAAATCCAATTACATCACCCTCCCCCCCCACCCCATCCCCCCCGCTTCATTTGTTCCCCTGCACTAAGACCCTCATTTTCAGCTATTTATCTTATTGCTTTTCTTCTAATACCAGGATACATGGTCCATGAGGGGAAGGACTTTTTTTTTAAGTTTATTTACTGATTTATTTTTAACTCACCTCTACACCAGCATGGGGTTCGAACTCATGACCCCAAGATCAAGAGTTGTGTGCTCTTCAGACTGAGCCCGCCAGGCCATGAGGGGAAGGACTTTTGTTCAATTCCTGGTCCCTAGCCCCTAGACATGTCCGGTAAGCAGTCGATCCTCCATAAATATTTTTTGAATACATGAATGCATCTATGCTCTCCCACACCTTTTTTCCTTTCAAAACAATATTTTTTTGATGGATATAATTCACACACCATGATGTTCATCCTGTTAAAATGTACAATTCAGTGGTGTCTAGCATACCGTATCTGCAAGTTTGTGCCTCAATCCTCACTATCTAGTTCCAGAACATGTTCCTCACCCCCAAAAGAAACTTCATACCCATTAGCAATCACTCACCACTTACTTCCCCTTTCCCCAGCCACTGGCAGCCACTCATGTACTTTCTGCCTATGGATTTCAACAGTCTGGACATTCCTAACAAACGGAATCATAAAAGATAAGGCCTAGTCTGCGTGGCTTCTTTCTCTTAGCATCATGTTTTCAAGGCTCATCCACGTATTGGGACTTCATATCTTATTTATATTGACATATTTCACATATCAGCTTAAAGTGCATAATTCAGTGGTTTGTAGTATATTCAGAAGGCTGTGCTAATTATCAACACTATCTAATTTCAGAGTATTTCCTCACTCTCAGAAGAAATCCCAGACTTGTTAGCCATTACTCCCCATTCTTCCGGCCCCCTAGGGCCATTATGATCCACAATGTATAGGATTATGTATACTCCCTTTCAGTACAGGAGGAATCAGAATGGTCCTCTTTTAAAGCCTCATCCCCCCCCCCCCCGCCAAGTATTCATTATTTAACCTAATGGATCACCGGAAGACCTTCCTCCGAAGACTCGTCCTTATTTGAACTGACCAGGAGCTCCTCTAGTGCTAAAAAAAATCTCTTCTTGAGGGCATTGGCCAAAAACACTCACTGGAAAGTGTTTGGGGTGGGGGATGCCTAAGGCAAAAGGTAGCCCTTAGGGAGATTTACCAGATTAACCAAAATGCTTAACAGAATCGGCTGGGCCACCACAGTCCACAGGAGCTTTGAAAAGTTGGGACATATCCCTGTCAATCTAGAAGGCCAAGTACATGCTCAAGAAAGGGTGAGGGAGCCCCAACTTCCCGACTCTGGCTGACCTTGAGGCTAGTGAAGGTTAATACAGACGTGTAAACTGCCTGACTGAATGACGAAAGCCACACACACACTGAGCCTCTCGGAAATGACTGGGACACTGATGTGTTCCAGGCATTGAAGGAAATCTCTGTCCACCATTAGCTGACCACTAACTAAGCGAAGACTTCATTGGCCATCTATGGAAAGCAATAGACTTTGCTGAGTTTATTCAGAGAAGTCCTAAATGAACGGCAACTACAACACGCAGCAACAATGGAGACTGCCAGGAGGGGAATCTAACTTCCAGAGTTGCCACGTTATGATATTCAAACTTTCCGGTTTTTTCAATAAAATTTTACGAGGCACATGAAGAATCTAGAAAGTACGGCCCATGTATGGGGGCGGGAGCAATCAGAACTGTCCCCAAGGAAGCATAGGCATTGGAATTACTAGAGAAAGACTTTTATCAGATATGTCCCAAGAGCTAAAAGGAAACAATGCCTAGAATCCAAAGGAAGGCTTCTATTCTAACACGTAAAGGGCTCGCAAGTCATCACTCCCATCTTCCCAACAAGGAAACACAAAAACCAATGACTCTTTCGGGATACGTCAGAGAACTGAGCTCCTGGGATGAACTGTACCCCAAACCTGGAGGAATCAGGGATTCTAGAGCCCATGGGTTACCGTGAACTCAACAAACCTGAGGCAGGAACTTACATGGCAGCTTCCCTGAGCTGGGAGGGTAGGGGGTGCCGAGCACGGACTGGCTTGAGAGTTAGAAACTCCCGGGGGGGCCCATCTAAGGCAGCCCCTCCCTCCACAATCACCGTGTTTACCCCTAGAATCCTCACCAGGTCTCCTTGGTAATGCTCAGAGCAAAAACTGCCTCCTGGTGGGCCAGGGAGAGACGAGAGGTAACCATTTTGAAGGAAGCCAAAAGCGCTTTCCACAAGAAAGGCCTACCCAGCAAGGGAGAAGCCTTCCTGGACTTGGGGCAAGGGAGATTTCCCAAACTTCAGGCTCCCTGTGGCCTTCCTTCTTCTCATAAGGTGGGGAAGAAAGCTGAGAAACACCGGAGAAGGTCCCAGCCCGGGGGGTTGGGGGGTTGGGTGGGGACAGGTACACCGAACACCTGAGACTAATCCCTGGATTACAGGCTGCTTCTCCTCAGTCCTGACCTGAGCGAACTTTAACAGGGCTCCTGCCTAGTGATGGTGGGTTACTGCTCAGGGAGAGTCAAGGCTCAGACTCTCCTGAAGAAGGGTTTTCTAGGGAAAGGAAAGATATTGGGGGACAAAAACCAAAGACACTCGTGGAAACTGAATCCTCTGACACTACATATGCAGGAAAAGAGTAAATACAGCAGACCTCCTAGCCAGATAAAAATAAACGTCATATGGAAGGCCGGTGTACTTCCTGACACCTGATAATTCTGGACTGGCTTTCAACAACGACAAACGTTACATGACACGAGAAGAGAGAAGAAACGATCTGAAGAGACACAGCAGGCATCAGAACCAGGTTCAGATATGGCAGGAGTGTGAAGTCCTCAGACAGGAAATTAAAAAGAAGTATGATTCATATGCTAAGGGCTTTATGGAAAAACTGGACAACACGCAAGAACGGACAGATAGTGTACTGATAACAGACAGAAACCCCAAGAAAGAATAGAAAGGAAATACCAGAACAGAAAACACTGTAACAGAAATAAAGTCTACATCATCCGATGGACGAGTCAGGCGATTGGAAAAGGGCTGGGGACAGAATCCGAGCACTTGAAGATCTGTCGATAGAAACTTCCCAAACTGGGTTGTAGAGAGAAAAAATAATAAAAATTGGGACAGAATATCTACTAACTGTGAGGTGATCGATCACCAAAAGTATAGCAGATGTGTGAAGACACTGTCAAAAGCAGAAGAAAGAGAAAAGGCAACTATTTGACATAATAATGGCTGGGATTTTTCTAAAATCCATGACAGAAACCACACCACAAACCTAGGAATCTCAGAGAACACCAAGCAGAATAGATGCCGATACACATACACACACACGCATGCGCGCACACACACACACACACACAGGCGCACACGCACTCACACTACGCAGATCATGTTCAAATTGCATAAAGCCAAGGGAAAATCTCTTAAAAAGTCAGAGAAGAAAAACACCTTACTTAGGGAGAAACAAAGGTAAGAATTACGTCGGACTTACTTCAAAAATCATGCAAGCAAGGAGGGTAACGTGAAATATTTAAAGGGTTGAAAACAAAAACCCACCAACCAAGGAGTCTATATCCGGAAAAACCATCCTTCAGAAGTAAGGGAAAATAAAGACTGTTGGTGCAGTAGTTTGCTAGGGCCGCCAAAACAAAACACCACAAACGGGGGACTCAAACAACAACAAAATTAATTTCTCTCGGTTCCGGAGACTGAAAGTCAAAGATCAAGGCGCTTTCAGTGCTGCCTTTTGGAGGCCTCTCCGCTTGGCTTGGAGCTGGCTGTCTTCTCGCGTGGCCTTACCTCCGTGCATGCACGGGCCCGTCCCTGGTGTCTCTTCCTTTTCTTACAAGGACACCAGTCAAACTGCAGCCAGGCCCCACCCTTATCACCATGGTGGACATGCATCACCTCTCTAAAGGCCCCGTCTCCAATTACAGTCATGTCGGGAGTTATGGCTTCAACATATCAACTTTGGAGGGGAACCCAATTCAGTCCGTGACACTCAGGCTAACGGAACAGAGAGAACTGTTGTTGCCAGTAAGTGTTAAAAGCTACTCTTCAGAGACAAGGGACACGGTGTTGGTCAGAAACCTGGATCTACGCAGCGAAAGGAAAGGTGTCACAGAATAAGTGGAGATTAAAGTCGCATATTTTTATTTTTCTTATTCTTATTTAATCTAACGGGCGACTGTTGAAAGGAATACCGGCCACAACGTACTGGGTGCTAACAGCAGGTAGGTCAGTGAGATAAACTGTAGCAGTGTTAGGACAGGATGGGAGTGAGAAGCTGGGAAGTCTGGTACGCTCACACTGCAATGGTATCTGAGGGTGGACCTGGATTGGTTGTGAATTTATGTTGCGCAGTCCAGGTCTAGGGAAACCACCAAAAAGTTAAAGAGAAATATAACTGATACGCTGAGAGAGAAGAGAAAGTGGAATAATAAAAAATGCTCAATTAAGAGAGAAGGCAGAAACAGGAAGATTAAAAAGAACACAAAGAATAAGTGCAGCAGGTACAACACTTTTACGAACATGGTGGATGTAAATCCAACTATGTCAGCGATCACTTAAAAGGGGAGCGGTCTACACACGCCCACTGCAAGAAGAGACTGCAAGGGCAGATGAAAAACGATACCCGGCTATGTGATGTCTATAAGAAACCCAATTTAAACACAAAAACACATAGATTACAATAAAAGAGTGGGGAAAGAAGTACTGGACTGGCACAAATCAAAAGAAAGCTGGAGTAGCTCTGTGAATTTCAGACCAAAAAAGGCATTAGAATAAGGAAACTTACCAGGGGTAAAAGAGGGTATTACATAACAAGGGGGTCAATTCTCCAAGAAGACACAATAATCTCTGAAATATACGCACTTTACAACAAAGCGTCAAAATGCAAGAGGCAAAAACGGATAAAAATGCAGAAGAGAAACAGATAATCCGCTATTAACGTGAAGGATTTCAATACTCCCTCTATTAGTAACTGACAGATCCAGTAGACAGAAAATCAGTAAGGATATAGTTCAACTCAACAGAACCATCAATCGATGGGTCTGACACTGTATTTTTAATTTTTCCCAGCTTTAATTATAACGGACAGATAAAACTGTATACACTCAAAGTGTGCGACACGATTTGATATATGCAGACACTAAAATGATCGCAATTAAGTTAATTTTTATGCATCTGTCACTTCACACAGTTACCTTTTCCGTGTGTAGCAAGAGGGCTTAAGATCTATTCTCTCGGCACCTGTGCCTTGCAGATTCGTTCTTCTCTCCTTCTAGATCCGAGGTGTCCGCTGCCACCACGTTCTGCCAGATCTTTGACAATGTTCCAAGAAGCAGCCAAGCCTGATCCCCCCTATGTATTTAGTGGAGCTAGAGGTACTGGGGCTCCTGTAGGCCTTGCACCTGATATTTATTCAATCCAGAAACCCGGAACACACAGGGTCCCAATAATCAATACAGGTTCCACTCCGTGAACGTCGATTACGGCAAGCTGAAGAAAGAAGGTCCAGACTTCGAAATGAAAGGTTTCACTATAAAGCTAATTAAAGTGAAGGTTTTCCAGAAGACAGCTGCACAATTTTCCACTTATCCAGGAAATATGTCCCCTCTAAATGCACGGAATCCTTAAATATCTGAAACTAGGAAAAAAGAAAAAAATACACTCTCAGCAAATGTCAAGTATATAATACAGTATTATTAACTGTAGTCACAACACCAAACCTTACATCCCCAGAACTTCTTTATCTTTTGACCAACATTCCCTGATTTCCTCCACACCCCCCAGCCCTGGCAATCACCATTCAACTCTGTTTCTGTCAGTTCGACTTAAATTTTTTAGATTCTACATATGAATGAGATCCTATAGTATTTGTCTTTCTCTGTCTGGCTTATTTCACTTGGCATAATATCCTCCAGTTTTATCCATGTTGTCACAGATGACAGCAGATATATATATCTCATGTTACACATCTCTCTTGCGTTATATATGTGTATATATATATATATATATCTCACGTTATACATCTCACATTATATATGTGTATATATATCTCACATCATACATCTTTCTCACTATATATATATAGAGAGAATATATGTATCTATATAGTTCTATCTAAATAACTTCTAAGGGAAGGAAAGCCATTCATGGGAAGATGAAAACGCATAAATGTTTGGGAAACAAATATTTGTGGAGCCATAAAGAAACAACAGGAGGCAGAAAGAAATTTTAACAAACAGGCTTTGCTAGGTTGCTCCCTGCCAGCCACACCTACTTTGCATTACACTGTAATGACAGGGATGGTGGCTCTTTTCCTGGAAGAAGTCCTCTATCTAAAGTCTTTTAGGCGATTAAAAAAAGAGGCAAAAAGAAAAATCTCGTGAGTCTTCTGTGTCTTAAAAATAACCTAAATTACTCCTCATGCCAAAGAGGCACATTTTGGGGTGGCAAATTTTGCTCCCCTAGAAGGTAGTATCTCATTGTGGTTTTGATTTTGCATTTCCCTCATGATGAGCAATGCCGAGAACCCATTCATGCACCTATTAGCCATATGCATGTCTTCTCTGTAAAACTGTCGTTCCAGGTCCTCTGCTTTTTTTTTTTTTTTTTTTGAGAGAGCACACACACAAGCAGGGAAGGGACAGAGAATCCCAAGCAGGTTCTGCCCTGTCAGCACAGAGCCCAACATGGGGCTTGAACTCACAAACTGTGAAATCATGACCTGAGCGGAAATCAAGAGTTGGACGCCAACTGAGCCACCCAGGCACCCCTGCCCAATTTTTAACCAGTTACTTGTTTGCTCGCTTGCATTATGTAAGTTCCTTATATATTTTAGACATTAACCTCTTATCAAGATACACGGTTTGCAAATATTTTCTCCTTTTCATTCTGTTGATGGTTCCCCTCGCTGTGCAGAAGCTTTTTAGTTTGATGTAGTCCCCCTTGTTTATATCGGCCTTGTTGAATGTGATTTTGGTGTTGTGGTAGGGTCCCCTGCCTAAGGAAAGAAAAAAAACCTCAAGGCAACCTGGCTATATACATAGGTGACAACATCCCTCACGACCTTGTAACATGGGACTACTTAATCAGACTGCATGTTTGTGTGTTACCATATATGGGAGACAAAGAAGTAAAAAATATATAAAAACTACGCCATGTGGTGTTTAGGGCTCAGTTCTTCGGGTATGAACCCAACTGAGCAGTGCCGGCCTGAATAAAGTTGCTTCCTGGGAAGAAAAGCCTCAGTGTCACAACTCTGTGCGAGAATCCTGCTACATTACTTGGGGGCTCGTCTGGGATTCAGAGACGGTGTATTTCCACCTCCTTTGCCACAGGGATACGAACCTCAGAGTGCTGGGAGAAGTAACCTCGCCTGGTGCCAGCAGACCCCTTGATCTGCATGAGACAAGCCCTCCCAGCGTGCCGGAGTGAGAACCCCATGTGCGCCAATGGAACCCGTGAGGCCCAGGATACAGCTCAGGGAGCGCTGCCCGTCAGACTGGTAAGAGCCCGGGTTCATTTCTGCAGACCTGATCTAAGGGGCAGAGGGGAGCCTGATCGCCCCCCACCCCCAGAGTTGTCCTAGTAGTTCCACAAGGGACAAGGAACGAAGCTGCAACTCTAAGGCCCTGGGCGGCAGGTTGGAGTCGCTGTGTGACTGTGTGTGGGGACTTGTCTCTCGTTCATTTCCTAGGTCAGTGACTATGATAATTAGAGCCACCTGTCTCTGGCTGCGCTACCTCAGAACAGGGAATTTAAAGAATATTCCCAAGCAGATGCCGAAACTCCCTTTGTTTTGGGGAAATTCCCTGACTTCTCAGACTGACATGGACTGCCTATTTCCACTGGTGGAGAATAAAACAACGCAAAGGAAACCTGGAGTCTGCTCCTCTGTCTGAGCTGACAAGACTGAAAACTGGGAATTGTCTTTCTTTGCCTTCTGCTGGCACCTCACTCTTCTGCCTTCCCTTCCTCCTACTGTTTCTGTACCACCTGGGGGGCGGGGGGCAGCGGCCTGCATAACTGGCTCCTCAAGGCCTAGGGCACCATCAGCTCCTCCTACCCTTGGGGTCCTGGAGGAAGACCACAGACTTCAGATTTCCCCACCAATGTTCCAGGTAAAAACTAACCATGGGGAACAAACTGTCTTAAGTGGACCCAATAAAATGTATTCAGTATTTAAGCTAATTTAAGTTTGTTGAGTTTGAGATAGACAATGTTTATCAACATTAAAAAAAAAAAACATTTTTTCTACCTAGATTTGCTGAAGGTCAAATAAGCTCATGTTCCAACGTGTTAGCAAAAAGATGACTTGGTTAGCTTTGTCTCATAGTTTTCATGGGTAATTGTTAAGATAGCTTTCAAAGTCTTTGGTAACCTAAAATGTTAAAAGTTTTTGCTTGCATAATAAATCAGGATTAAATTCACTGGATATCTAACAAGCTAAGAGGCTAATGCAATAATTAACTGTGCTTTTGAAAAAAACAAGAATATGTGGATGTGTTGAAAAACATGCTTTGTGCTTAATTGATTCATAAGTTTGTACCTAAGAAATTCTAAATGTAACAGTTCACAATTGGTTACTACTTAGTTTTCACTGGAGACTAAGGTTTCTAAGAGTTAAAATTCTATTAAATGTAGTTAAGATTAATAAAACTTAAAAAAACACAACTCTACATGTAAAAGAGTAGATATATTAAAACATATAAGAAATGGAAATACTTTTTTTGTTACAGGTTAAAAAAAAAAGGAGTAACTTTGTCCTAAATGAGACTGGATTGTTAAAAAAAAAAAAAAAAGGCTTAGATAAAAATCTAAAAGCAAAGTTGTAAAAAGTTTGTAAAAAGAATCTTTAAAAAAATTTTATATATGGTCAGGAGGTCTAAGGTTAAGCCTTTAAATTACACTAAATCAGCCACTATCTTACAGACCCAAAGTAAAACCCTGGTGGCCTTCCAGGAAAGTTTAAGGAAGGCTCTCATTTAAATATACGATTATTATTCCCTAACACCCCTGAGGCTGAGATGGTTCTAAAATACAAATTTATCACTAGATTGGGCCCAGATATTCAGAGAAAACTGCAAAAACTGGCTGTTGGTTCGGAAGGGGCCCTAGAGGAGCTCTTACGAACTGTCAATTAGGTATATTACAGCCAAGATCAAGAGGAGAATAAGAATATTAAAAAAAAAAAAAAAAAAAACAGCAGAAAAGGAGGCTTAAAAAAAATCTGAGGCCTTAGTTGTGGCTTTATGTACTATGTCAGACCAGACTTCCCGAGGTCCTGGCACCAAGTGCCATGTATATGGCCGTTCAGAGCACTAAAATGAGAACGTCCTCAGAAGGGACCACTAAAATGAAAACCCCATAAGCCATGCCGCTTATGTGGTGAATCACTGGAGATCTGAATGCCCTCGGACCTCTATGTGTGAGGGCTTAGATAACCCATGTCTCTGGAAGGGACTAGCCAGGGCCTGGGAGCTCTGCATGGTGGCTCCCCTAAACCGACTGTCTATCAGAAACCTCGAGCCTCAGGTAACTGTAAATATAGAAGGAAAACTGGCTGGGGGCGCCTGGGTGGCTTAGTCGGTTAAGCGTCCGACTTTCGCTTGGGTCATGATCTCGCGGTTCGTGGGTTCGAGCCCCGCGTCGGGCTCTGTGCTGACTGCCAGCTCAGAGCCTGGAGCCTGTTTCAGTCTGTGACACCCTCTCTCTCTGACCCTCCCCTACTCATGCTGTCTCTCTCTCTCTCCTAGAAATAAATAAAACATTTAAAAAAAAAAAAAAAGAAGGAAAACTGGCTGATTTCCCTCTTAACACCAGAGCTCCCTTTTCTGTCCTCCTCTCCGCTCCAGGCCAACTATGCAAACGTAGCCTGACAGTCAGAGGCCTCTCGGGAAAACTTCCAATTGAATTTTTCTCTCAGCCCCTGGGACACATATGGAAAAAACTAATTTTTTCTCATTCTTTTTTGATAATACCAGAGAGCCTTACTCCCTGGCTAGGAAGGCACATTATAACTACAGTAGAGACTATAGTGCTACTACCTCCTGAACAAATAAACAGTTGTATGAGTTTTGGAAAATTACTGGATATTGTAGGCTGTCGATACCAAGGCTCAGGAAAATAGTTTGCTGCCATATCAATTATTAAAGGAGACTCAATCCTACCGACTCTCCCCCCCCCAAAATAAACTGGGGTCTGGTTCCTAGACACTGTCTCTAGCCCTTGAAATGGTTACGAACAGAGCAAGGCAATTACTATTACCAAGCTCACAGAGCTTAAACGATCATTAAAACACAACATGAGTCCTTTCATTTAGGGAGGGACAAAACTTCTCAAGTGGCCCAAAGGATGTTTACTAGAAAAAAACTTGTTGGGGCGCCTGGGTGGCTCAGTCGGTTAAGCGTCTGACTTCGGCTCAGGTCATGATCTCACGGTTCATGGGTTCGAGGCCCACACTGGGCTCTGTGCTGACAGCTAGCTCAGAGCATGGAGCCTGTTTCAGATTCTGTGTCTCCCTCTCTCTGACCCTCTCCTGTTCACACTGTCTCTCTCTTAGAAATAAATAAAACATTTAAAAATTTTTGTATAAGAAAAAAACCTTGTCAAGGACAGTTCTGAAAGAGGTATCAGCCTGTG